GGCCGTGGGTCTGGGATACCCTGCTGCCCTATGGTCCACCGGGGGGCGGGGGGTGACGAGCAGGGGAATGGTGGTGAGGTTGGACCGAATGTGGGTATTAAGTAGATCTGTGCGGAGGGTGTCTTGGCACAAGGTACTGTATATATTATATACCTCGTGGGTTCCTGTGTTTATAGGATACTTGAGTAGAGGGAGTACAGTGGAAGGGATTGATTCTTTGGGTTTTTAACAAAGATGGGTAAGATATAAGTTGGAGAGAGTAATCACAAAGTGTGTCTGTAGAAACCCATAGAAAAGCGGGTTAGTATCATAGATGGAAGAATTAATTGACTAGCTGTGTGAGGAACCAAATTGACAAGAGAGAGAGTCCATTTAGATGTTGGTAGAACGCTATTGGGAGGGTTGAAACTAGCTATCATACTTCTTCTTAAAAGGGCACTTGGGAGGAGATTCTCCAAGATGGAAAGGACTCGGAGGTCTCATAGCGCTGCTGAATTATTTCAGGCAGCAAAAGAGGAGTGGGACTTGATTCCTCGTGAGGCTATTGATGGATGAATAAATAAATAGGATGCCTGGAAGAATGCAAACTTTGCTGAATGCGGATAGTGGTCACACCAAATGGTAATATCATAGGATTATTAGGAGGGCTATTATTTCTACCTTCATATTATATCTCTCAATTGAATTCTATTTTTTTTTTTGTATGATATGGTAAAAATTGTGTTGGGCTGTGGTTGCTGTTGTGACCGGGGGNCTGAAATCTAAGGTAAACATAAACATAACTTTCCCGGTAGGTACTGTACGGATGGTGTTGACAAAACCCGCTTGTAAAAAAAGAAAGGAAAAGAAAAGAAAAGAAAAGAGAGAAAAAAAAGGGAAGAAGGGAAGAAGGGAAACCTTGACGCATTTCAGCCTCAATTTCACCCTCACTGGCTTCTGCCGTAGGTTATTATACAGTACTAGTACAGTACGCGCTGCGACTCCCCATTGCTATTATACCCAGACACCACTGCCTCCTGTGCTTCTTAAAACCTGCACAATTTGGGCCAATCGTTGCATCCTCCAGTCGGAACTCAAGAGGTCGAAGCTGCGGGCTCTCGTTCCAAAGGAAACAACACTTGTTTTCGCCCCTCCAGCAATTCATAATACACTCACTTTCCCGCATTCCGCCGGGAAGATCTGTGGGAATTCTGGGGTAAGCTACTCTTTTGAAGCCCTTCTTCCTATCCACCTCCCCAGCAACGGTAGGCGTCCATAGGCATGAGGAAAGGATCTCTTATTTTGCGGATTGAAAGCTGACTTGTAACCCGAGCCGTTGAATTTACGGCACTTTTAGTGGTCAAGGCGAGCTTGCGTTTGGGGAGAAGCAAACGCCGAGCAACTTTCTCTCTATCTTTGAGGTTGCAGTTTTCTCGGCACCGCCGGTTGCCCAAATTCTCTGTGTTTTGCTGATCCTGTGGTCTCGAACTCGACCCCTAAAACGACCGAACCGCAGAAGTAGTAGTACGAATCGTTTAGGCTTGGTGTTTAGGTCCTTGGAAGGGATTAGGAGAATAAGTATGATACGCAATTCAGCCCCTTCCCTTCCCTTCCCTTCCCCTCCCTTCCCTTCCCCTTCCTTTCCTTTCCTTTTATTATTTATAGAAAAGCCTGGGACGAGCCCTGATATTTGAGCGGCAAACATAGAATCCTTGGACCCTCTCAATTGTCTCCAGGGTCCACACATTTAAGTGGTTTGTCGCAAACAACCTGTTGCAAGGGGACTAACGAGCATCTGCGGAAATAGTACGAACGGGAGTTACAATGATCACTGCGGCAGTCACACCGGTGTATTCGCTAAATAACTCTTCCCATGATCCTGCCGGCGGAACGGTCACCGCATCACCGGACCGGGACAGCTACGGAGCACGAACGCCAACCTCCCCGGTATCTCCGCGAGCTTCTATGCAGCCGGTGCGTCGTAAGAGTCTTCCGCCATCCTCCCCTGTTCATCAGAGACAGCAAAGTCTCCAGTTGAATGGCATCAACGAGTATGGCACTACCCACCAGAATCCCTGCCCCTCGCCTGAGCATGCTCAGCACACCTCGCCCATGCAAGGGACCGCTCAGCAGTACCAACAAAGATTGCCAACCTTCCATGGGCGTGTGCAATCTGTACAATCCTTAGAGTCTCGCGACCTTCAAACCCCATCACCCGACCTCGTTCTCGACGCGAGAAGAGAAGAAGACCCGCCCGTGCAAGCTCCTCTTTCCTCGCCTACCTTTAGCCACCACCACATCACCCATCAAGCCGGACCAATACCTCAGCCCCAGATGGCGATAATATCCTCCGGGGAAAGCCATCATTCGTCAAAGAGCTCGTCCAATTTTGGGGATGAGGGTCCAGGGCGCGAATCTCCCACCAGCCAGGCCTCTTCGGGCGAAGACTCCAGAATGTATCCACAGCTCCAGTACCATCACAGCCAATTTCCTGAGGACGGTGCTTACCGAGAAAATAACGGGAGCGGGGCGCTCGGTGCTAGCGGAACGGGTCCGTATCCCAGGAGGAACTCATCGTCATCACCAGCATCTTCCGACGGCCAACCGCCTAGTGGGAGACACTTGGCCGCACCAGGACCTAGCTATCGAATGAATCCTTCCAGGTCTTCTTCCCTGTATTCGTCTTTGTCTGTTGACGGCCGTGGGAAGTCTCCCGGATCGCCGCACCAGCGAGCTGTTAGCACACATTCCTACGACAGTCGGAGGTCGTCCTATACCGATTTGACACAGCCCGTACACATGCAAGCCCCGCCGCCTCCTATCGCTTCGTTCGACAATTCTCATCTGAGGAACAAGGTTGGTGCGAACGCCTCACTTCTCACAAACAAGCAGACCCTGGAGATGTACCGGGCAAATGCGAAGAAGTCGCAAGATCCCTACTTGCAATACGAGTTGGCTGTATTTATGATACAAGCGGCTCAGAGCACTAGCGATGGAAGCGAGCCAGGGACGCCATCTCCGAGGGTATCTGGGAGTAAGGGGGACTTGAATAATCCGTATGAAGCAAGCTCCAGTGCTTCCAAGAATGAGACCCTCCGCGAAGCTCGACAGATCCTGGAACGATTGGCCGGGAAACTGCCGCAAGCTCAGTATTACCTTGCCGATGCTTACGCCTCTGGACTTTTCAACAAGGGCAAGGAAGAAAATGAGAAGGCTTTCCAATTGTTTGTTGCAGCCTCCAAACACGGTCACGCAGAAGCTGGGTACAGGGCGGCTTTGTGCTTTGAGTTTGGTTGGGGTAGTCGGAAGGATCCCTTGAAGGCTGTTCAGTTCTATCGCCAGTCGGCGAGCAAGAATCACCCTGGTGCCATGACGCGGTTGGGAATGGCCTGTCTGCGATCGGATCTAGGGCTCCAAGGCCGTTACAAGGAGGGTGTCAAGTGGTTGAAGCGCGCAACTGATGTAGCGGATGCTCAGTACCCGAACGCACCGTACGAGCTAGGATGTATGCATGAAACCGGATGCGGGGATGATGTCTTCCAAGATGAGGGTTACGCCGCGCAACTCTTTACCCAAGCCGCGGAATTGGGGCACGCGGATGCCTACTATCGTATGGGCGATGCATACGAGCACGGCAAACTGAATTGCCCGCGTGATGCGGCGTTGAGTGTCCACTTTTACACTGGCGCTGCACAGAGAGGACATGCTACGGCTATGATGGCTCTCTGCGCCTGGTACCTTGTTGGTGCTGAACCGGTGTTGGAAAAGAATGAAGATGAGGCTTATCAGTGGGCTTTGAAGGCTTCTGGATATGGTTTGTTATCCTTTAGGTGCTGGTTGTGGTCGTGGGCTAATGATTCATCGCACAGGTCTTCCAAAAGCGGAGTACGCTGTCGGATATTTCACCGAGATGGGCATTGGATGCCGGAGGGACCCATTGGAGGCCAATGTCTGGTATGTCAAGGCTGCGGGCCACGGCGACGAGCGTGCGATTGCTCGATTAAAGGTCATCCAGGCAGCCGCGTCAGGTGGCTCATCCACGAAGAAGGATAAGAAGAAGGAGAAGGCCGGGAATAAGGGCGTCCTCGAAAAGAACCGAGACGTTGATGATAAGGACTGTATAATTATGTGAAGCGGGGCCTGGATTTCCGACGGTTTTAGTTCACATCTGGATCTCTCCTTCTCACTCCCTTTTTTTTCCCTTTCTTATTTGGTCTTTGTCTTAGCTTCTGTCTAGTCCTAGGGATACCTTTCAGCTCACTTTCTTGTTGGTTGATCTACGCATATTGCTTATTAGTTTTTCAATTTGCTTTCGGGGGTTTTCTTCTCTTCCATCTTCCATTTTATTTCCCTGCATCTATTTCCGGATCTTTCCTATGTGGCATCATGGCATACGTCCCTTGGACTTGGGAGCCAGACAAACTAAAAATACCCCAACTTTCCCTTGGCATTGGGAGCACTTTTCTTCCGTTTTCGCAACTCCCTTTCTTTCGTTTTTTTCTTTCCCTGTCGTCACACCATATATACATGCATCAAAGTGCTCCCTAAAGTTCCGTGCCTTTTTTTATTTTATTTTCTTTGTTTTCCTTCCAAAAATATTTTGCGTCATCTAAGGTCGCAAAACCCATTCCTTTACCAAAAGAGAAATATGATTAGTTTTTTATTTCGTCTTGCATGGGGGATAATTTGCAATTGGGGAGTAAGAAAGGAGGGAGGGAAAGGCAGCTGGGCGAAAGGCGGCTCGTATTGGGGGGATTACCATACATACATTGGGTTTCTGTTGTATCTATCTAGTCTATGTTAAGTGATTTATAGTTAGTTGGTAATGCATAATGAGTCTGTCCACTTTTAGCAAGGAGAGGGGATATTGAGCTTCGCGGGTGATTATTCGTGCTGGGCGGTTGTGTGTTTCCATTGATGAAGGCAGAGGTTGAGTGGGAAGGTGCTGGTCCGTAGTTGTTATCGTGCGTTGTTCTCATGAGATGACATATACATTGAAAATCCACTAACCTCTATATCATGCATTGCTGGTCCAGTGGTAGGATAATTGCCTTCCAAGCAATTGGCAGGGGTTCGATTCCCTTGCAATGCATTTTTTATCTTTTTCCCATCCCCCCCCCCC